CTGGTGTTTACTTCTAGTTCATGGAACATGTGAGTGGTTGCACTGGTCGTACTGGTGTTTAATTCTTGTTCATGGAACACGTGAATGGTTGCACTGGTCGTACTGGTGTTTAATTCTTGTTCATGGAACACGTGAGTGGTTGCACTGGTCGTACTGGTGTTTACTTCTTGTTCATGGAACACGTGAGTGGTTGCACTGGTCGTACTGGTGTTTAATTCTTGTTCATGGAACACGTGAGTGGTTGCACTGGTTGTACTGGTGTTTACTTCATGCCTTGTCCATGTGTTTGCATTAATTAAAACTGAACTGAACTCCGTTCAGTTCTGTCACATTAAAGTTTCCAGCTGTTTTCATTAAAGTTTCCAGCTGTTTTCATCCTCGCTGATGCTCGAGCAGGTCTCAGACATAATCTGATTAATCTCCAGCTCCTCGTGTGTAATCCTGATCAGACCCAGAGTTCTGGTTTTTGGAAGTGGTTCTGGTTCTGTGTTGGCAGAGATGATGGAGTCGTGTTTAGCCTGGAGGCCGGAGAGGGGGTACCAGGAGGAGGTGGAGGACATCAAGAGGAACCTGCTGGGTGAATTTACTGCTCTGCAAGCTCAGGTGGGTGTACCTGTGGGTCTGTGTGGAGGAAGCTGAGGATGATGATGCTGATCTGATGCTCTTTCTCTGCAGGACAGTGTCCTAACGCACACTGAGAACCTGCAGGTGTACCTGAGAGTCCGGCCGTTCACTCTACATGAAACCAAAGAGTCACAGGTACCAGATCTCACTTTCATGGGTCCATCTGAATGTTTAGGTCCACGATGAACAGTTTTCATGGGGAACACTGGAGTGTCTGCAGGAGAACTTCCTGCTGGTTCTGAATGCCCTTTTGTGAGTCTGAGACGTGCAGACTTGTCCTGGGTGTCTCCAAATGTTGTTTAGTTTTTTTCTGACAGAAGACTTCAGAATCCAGTGGATGTTTCAGAGCGGAGCTTTAAAGAGCCCGAGTCCTAAACTCTGAGCCACACACAAACCAGCATAAACTGGTTTGTTTCCATGGTGACCGACTCTGAGGATAACGCATCTCTTTCTGGAACAGAGAGCTCAGTTTGGTTCACAAACATCTGTTACCCCCATCTTTTCTCTTTGTCTTCCTTTTCTGTTCGGGGGGGTCACTGGTGCACACATCGATCAGTTACACTGTGAGAGAGACTGGGGACGCCTGGACCGGTCTCAGTCCATCACAGGGACACCTGGACCGGTCTCAG